ACGACGACGACGACGGCGACGAGGACGACGACGACGACGACGACGACAACTGCGAGGACGACGACGGGGACAACGACGAAGACGACGACGACGATGATGGGGACGAGGATGACGACGAGGATGCCGACGACGACGACGAGGACGAGGACGACGACGACCATGACAACAACAATCACGACGGCGACGACGTGGATGACGACGACGGGGACAACGACGAAGACGACGACGACGGTATGGAGACGAGGATGACGACGAGGATGCCGACGACGACGACGACGAGGACGAGGACGACGACAACAATCACAACAACAATCACGACGACGACGACGACGACGACGATATGGACGAGGACGAAGACGACGACGACGACGACGAAGACGGCGACGTGGACGTCGACGACGACGACGACGACGACGACGACGACGACGATTAGGACGACGACGAGGACGACGACGGCGACGACGAAGACGGCGACGATGACGAGGAGGACGACGACGACGACCACAACGACGATGACGACGACGACGACGACGACGACGACGACGGCGGCGACGACGACGACGACGACCACGCCGACGACGACGGCGACGACGACGACGACCACGACGACGACGACGATGTCGACGACGACGACGACGACGACGACGACGACGACGACGACGGCGACGACGACGACGACGACGCTGACGACGACGGCGACGACGACGACGACGACGACGACGAAGACGGCGACGACGGCGATGACGACGACAAAGACGACGGCGGCGGTGGCGGCGGCAGCCGCGACCGCGACTTCGCCACCAACGCCGACGACGACGGCGACGAGGACGACGACGACGACGACGACGACGACGACGACGACGACGACGACGACGACGACGACGACGGCGAGGACCCGACAGCGGCGACGACGAGGACGACGACGACGACGCCGACGACGAAGACGACAACGACGACGACGACGACGACGACGACGACGACGACGACGACGACGGCGACGGCGACGGCGACGGCGACGGCGGCGGCGACAGTGGCGACCCTCCTCGAATCTGTCGTGGACGACGGCGACGACGACGACGACGATGACGAGGACGACGATGACACGACGACGACGACGACGACGACGACGACAACGACGAAGAGGACGACGATGCGAACGACGACGACGACGACGACGACGACGACGACGACGACGACGACAAGCCTCCTCCAATTTGTGGACGACGGCGACGACGATGACGACGACGACGAAGACGACGACGACGACGACGACGACGACGACGACGACGACGACGACGACGACGACACGACGACGACGATGACGACGAGGAGGACGACGACAACGAGAACGACGACGACGACGACGACGAGGACGACGACGGCGGCTTCGGTGGCGCCGCAGCCGCCGCCGCCGGCGCCGGCATCGGCCGCGGCGGCGGTGGCCCCAACGGCGGCGGCGGTGGCGACCGCGAGCGCGGCTGCGCTGGCGACGGCGACGCCGACGGCCTCTGCCTGCCGAGGAGAAGCACGCCGAGGAGGTGCAGTTCGCCGCCTACAAGCAGCGCGGGGCCCGGCGGCCGTCGCGCGCCCGTGCCGGCCGCGCGCGCGCGCGCCGAGCGGCTCGGGCCGGCGGCGCGTGGCCGGTCGCGTCGACGACGTGTTTTGTCGGGCGCTGGGCCGATAGTTCGCAGAGAATCGGGTATAGCCAGGACCCCAGGTAAGGGGCCCTCCCCTCCCCCTCCCCCTCCTCCTCTCCTCCTCTCCTCCTCCTCCTCCTCCCCTCCTCCTCCTCCTCCTCCTCCTCCTCCTCCTTCCTCCCCCGCCCCCTTCTCCAGGCAAGGGGACCCGGTTAGTGGTAGGGCCCCAGAGCCCTGGAGCTGGCCAGAATCACTTAACCAGGTCTGCCGTAGCTGGTGTTTTTTCGGGTGACGGCAGTTCCGGTCAGTGGAACGGGGCGGGGGGGGGGGGCGTCCCCCAGTGCACATCACTAAACCAGGTTCCACTAAACCCAGTTCTGCCAACGCCCGAGAGAAAGCAAATTCTGTAAACATCGAGGTTCGGAGGTCCGCGCAGACCCCCCTCCTTTCTTCTCCCAGCATGTGTTTATGCAGGCATCTCTTCTCCCAATACAGTCGGGGCGCTGAAGAAGGAACCCTTTTCATTGGGGAGGGGCTCCGTGTTCCTTAATTGTTTCGCAGCTTGCCTCAGGTTTTCCTTAGGTTTTCGATATGAATTCGAAATTTAACTTATGGAGAATAGGGGCCTCGTTCCTTAGATCAGGGTTCCTTGGGTCAACGCCTCGACTGTAGTTCGGGTGGAACCACCCTCGCCCCATGCGGGGCTTGGGCCCGATCCAGAGGGCAGCCGGCAGGAGGCGGGTGCGAGCACACGAAGGAGGGGCCAAGCGTGCAGGCCTGGCCGGCCAATGTTAGCACTCTGCAGAGTTCGTTGCCAATCTATCTTTCTCGGTGCTGCACTAAAACAGGGCTAGGATCGGGATAAATCGCTCCAGAGCGTTCCGGAGCGCTCTCAGAGCGTTCCGGAACGCTCTGCAGCGGCCGCGGCGCCCAATACATCCTCCAAACCCGCCGATTCTCAGAGATTTCGAGTTATCCCGATCCGATTTTGTCCCGATCTTCGCGTCGTTTTATGTACTCGAGCCCCTCGGGCTTCGGGCGGATCGATTATGTACACGTCGTCGTCGTCGTCGTCGGCGGCGGCGGCTACAGCGGCTACAGCGGCTACAGCGGCTACAGCGGCGTCGGCGTTGGCGTCGGCTTCGTCATCGGCGTCGGCGTCGGCGTCGGCGTCGGCGCCGACGTCTTCTGCTTCCACGAGAAAAGCGCCGCCGCCGTCGAGCGAGCAGAGCGGGAAGCCCAGCGCTTCCTCTACACGCTAGGCGGGGGGAAACCTCTGTCCCGGCGTTGTCCCCTCTGTGTCCACCCTCTGGGGCCGTTTGCGGTTCTCGCGCCCCGCGTCCATGACAAATCGATCTGGGACGCGAATTTGCCCCCAGGGAAGGGGTTGGCACCTCTGGGGCCGTTGGATCGGGTGTCTGGGATGGGCGCGGCTGGCCCCAGAGGCGATCCCGGCCCAAGGTGCTCCCAGCTTTTCGCGCCATCTCGGACCCACTGTGGCCCTCTGGGCCTTGTGGCGGGTGTTCTGGAGGCAATCCTTGGCCGGGGTCGCCTCTGTCAGAAGCCCGGCATTGGGCCTGCAAGAAGGTTGCCCTGAAGGAGGACAGCAGCCAGGGACGCCTTGCGGGAGGATAGGGGAGGGTCCTCCTCCTCCTCCTCCTCCTCCTCATCCTCATCCTCCTCTTCTTCCTCCTCCCCTTCCTCATCCTCCCTCTGTCTCTTCTCCCCCTCCCCTTCCTACTTCTTGACGTTGGCCACATATTTAGCAGCACGAGCACGACCTCCTCCTCCTCCTCCTCCTCCTCCTCCTCATCATCATCATCATCAGCATCTATCTTGCCTCCCCCTCCCTCCTCGACACGCCTCCCGTGGCCCGTTTTTTCATCACGGGCCGTCATTGTTCTTGCCCTGGAGCCCATGGCCCGCAATATTGTGCTGGTCCTGTCCCCCTGCTGGTGCGAAGTTTGCCTCTGGCCGGCCTCCGAACAAAAGTCCCACGCATGCACATGCACGCATCCGCTGCCGACGCGCCCCTGTGGTGGCGCAACCCTCCAGAGCCCGAGAACCTCTCCTGGAGACCCGAATCGTAAGAGAAACAAATAATCAAACGAAGACATAAATAAACAACCAACCAACCAAACAAGCAAACAAACAAGCAAGCAACCAAACAAACACACAAGCACCACCACCCCGCATAAAAATTGACCCGGCGCAACCCCTATTAGGAGAAAGCCTCCTGAGTAAGTGAGTGGACCATGACGAAGGAAGACTACGTGGTGCCCGAAGAGACGACTGTGTCGTGCCCGAGGGACCAAGGAATCAAGATCAAGGCACCAAGACCAAAAACCCGAGGACGAATGCCAACGAACTAAGAATCCAAGTCGAAGCAACCAAGCAACCAAGACGACCAAGGAACCCAGGAACCAGGACCAGAGAACCGTGGAAACAGGAACCAAGAGATCAAGACCAAGGAACCGAGGAGCCAAGACGAAGCAACCAAGGAACCAAGACCAAGAAAGGAAGGAATCCAGACCAGGGAACCAAGACCGAAGAATAGAGGAACCGAGACAAAGGGACCAGGGATCCAAGACCAAAGAGCCCAGGGAAGCCAGGCAGCGCCCTGTGAGGAAGCCAGTCCAAGGAACCATTGGAAACGCTCTGCTGGAACGCAGGACACAGGGAAAGCCCAGGAAAGCCCGGCGCGACCGGGCCCAGAACCGAGTGGTCTCTTCACAAGCCTGCAGGAACCCTGGAGGCAGAGCCTGATTGGGGAGCAACACAGAAAGCACTGGAGGTCGGGGCTGTGCCCTGCTCGCCGCACGGGTGCCCTGCTGCGACTTTCCCCACGGCCGCGCGGCGATGCCTTGGAGGGCAGGCCCGCACCCCAGCCCTGAGCCAGAAGGCCTCTCGGGATCCGCGCGGACGGGGGCCCGGGGGATCGCCAGCGCACGCGCCGATCAGGAGCGGAGATCCCCCAGGAGGAGGGAGGACGAGGGCGAGGGCAATGCCGAGGGCGAGGGCGAGGAGCAGGAGCAGGAGCAGGAGCAGGAGAGGAGAGGAGGACGAGAAGAAGGACAAGGAGGAAGAGGGGAGGAGGAGGATAAGGAGGATAAGGAGGATAAGGATAAGGAGGAGGAGGAGGAGGAGGAGGAGGGGAACGACGACGACGACAAGAAACAATAGAAGGGAAGAGGGACGAGAAGGGGTAGGAAGGAGGAGGGGGAGCAGCAGCAGCAGCAGGAGGAGCAGGAGCAGGAGCGGCTGTTTTACAGGGGGGGTGCGCGCTGGACACTTCGTCTCCCCTGTATGCCGTGCGCCCAGCCAGCCGGACTCACCGCCGCTGGAGGAGCGGGAGGAAGAAGGGGCACGGAGTTTACGGAAATTTGGAAATGCTCTTTGGCCAAATAGCGGGTGGGGTTCACGCCAGATTCTGCGACGACACCACCGTCGAGAAGGAGAACGCGATCAGCGAGGCGGAGGAGAGGATCGAGGTGCTCACGGCGGACATCGAGAAGCGTCAGGCGACGGCGGCACAGTTGACCTTGGAGATCAAGGATCATGAGGCTGACATCGCCAGCTGGGACGGCGACATGAAGGCCAGTTCCTATCCCTCACTCATCCTCCTTCTCAGTCTCCTCCTGCTCCGCCTCCTCCTCCTCCTCCTCCTCCTCATCATCATCATCATCATCATCATCATCATCATCATCATCATCTGCCTGCCTCTTCCTCCTCCTACCTCCTGTTTCCTAAGCATTCATGTCTGATCATCCTTCTCCACATCTTCCCTCCTCCATCCCTCCCTATCCTACTCCTCCCTTTCTTCCTCCCTCCTCGTCCCTCTTCTCTCCGCCTCCTTCTTCTCCTCCTCCTCATCATCAGCATCAGCATCAGCATCATCATCCTTCTTCTCCCACTCATCCTCCTCCTCCTCTTTCTCCTCCTCCTCCGCCTCCTCCTCCCTCGTCAGATTCACTCCCTCCCCCCCTCCCTTCTCCTCCTCCCTCCTTTCTTTCTTCCTCCTCTCCCTCTCCCTTCGCCTCCTCCTCCTCCTCCTCCTCCCACTCCTCCTCCTCCTCCTCCTCCTCCTCCTCCTCCTCCTCCCTCCTCCTCCTCCTCCTCCTCTCCTCCCTCCTCCTCCCCTCCTCCTCTCCTCCTCCTCTCCTCCTCCTCCTTCTCCTCCTCCTCCCTCAGACTCCTCCCTCCCTCCCTCCTCCTTCGCCCTCCCCCTCTCCCTTCCTCCTCCTCCTCCTCCTCCTCCTCCTCCTCCTTCTCCTTCTCCTTCTCCTCCTCCTCCTGCTTAGATGGCATCTTGGGTATCTTGAAGGCCACAGGGTGTAGATTGGGTGTTCCAGAAGCTCCAGGGGTGCGTTGAGGAGCTCGTCCACCCCCCCTCCCTCTCAAACGCTATTTCAAACCCTGGGGGAGGGGGAAAGGAGGAGGGGGACAGCCAAACATCTCACACGCCTTTTCACCCCGGGCAAGCGGGGGTCGGTGGATTTCATCGAGTTGCAACAACTGATTACTCGGCCGCTTGCTCGGTGGAGGGACCGCCGCCTTCAGCGACGGTGCTCCCCCCTCAGTCCTTCCGTTTCTCCTCGTCTCTCCTCCTCGCCGCCCGCTTCCTATCTCTTTGTAACCAGGCGACGATCCGGTGTACCCTCGGAAGCCTGGCCTGCCTCTCCAGCCGACGCTGCGGCTGTCTATACCTGAGGGGGGGAAGTCGGCTTGTCCCGGTCCATTGCCGTACGGCTTCACGCAAACCACCCACGAAACCGAAAAAAACACAGGGAATGGACGTCCGAGCGATGGCCAGATACCTGTGGGGGGAGTCGGCTTGTCCCGGTCCACTGCCGCACGGCTTCACGCATGCATTTGCGCCATCGTCCCCGCGTGTATTGTTGCATGCTCGCCCGCTCGCTCGCTGCTCCCCCTCCTCCCTGATCCCTCCTTGATCCCTCCCCTCCCCTCCCCCTTCCCACCGCCCCCCAGAGGCAGCTGCGAAGGTGAGGAGCACGGAGAGAGCCGCCTACAGCGACGAGCACAAGGACGCCCCACCCCACCCCCCAGAGGGAGGGCAGACCAGCAAGGCAGGAGCATGAGGAGGAGAAGGAGGATGAGGAGGAGGACGACGAGGGGAAGTGAAAGTGTCTCTCACTGACCTGTTCCTGATCACAGTGCCGATAATGTCGCAGCGTCTTGGGGCGAGTACAGTTGCAAGTATACCTGTCCCGTAGCTGGAATACCGTTTGATGTCACTTAGAACGGCAAACACATAATATAGAATTGCAGTCTACGGATACTTACTCCATTGTCTCTCGCGAACAAAATTCAGCATCCGATTCTAAGGCTTCGGCCCGCTGGCAGGCATACCTTGGGCCAAAATGTCGTGCGGGTTTACCAGTGCGGGCGTATGCGGTGGCAGGAATGATGGCGATAGCGGCAGTAGCCATGCAAAACAAGCGTGTTTTGTTTCAGCCGCCCCCGCTGGCCGTCGTCGCCAAGTGGAGTCACTATTGGGCAATGATCACAAGACCTTGCTCCAAGGTTAGACCGAAATGGCAGAAGGAGAAGGACACGAGAGCAAACACCCCAGTTTACGATGAATGTCTGCGTGCCGCAACTCGAACACCCAGCTCATTCCGCCTGACACGTCGGGCCATGGCGGTTCGACCATCAAGAATATCAGCCAACTTCGTTCGTAGTAACCACGCGATACGGCCGTCCAGATCTGCGAGCCCCCTCTCTTCCTCCTCCCCCTCCTCATCATCCTCCTATTCCTCCTCCTCCTCCTCCTCATCCTACTCCTCCACCCTTCTCCTCCCCCTCCTTATCATCGTCCCCATCCTCTTCATTCCTCGTCCCTCCCCCTCCTTCACATCCTCCCCATCCTCTCAATCCGTTCCCTCCTGCTCCTTCACGTCCCCGTCCTCATCAGCCTCCTCCCTCCACTCCCCCATCCCACTACCCTTGCACCTCCTCGTTAACTTCCTCCGCCTCCTTCTCATCCTCCTCCTCCTCCTCCTCCTTCTCCTCCTCCTCCTCGTTACATCAGCATCATCATCATCATCATCACCACCATCATCACCATCATCGTCGTCCTCCTCCTCTTCCTCCTCGTCCCCGTCCTCCGCCGAGCAGCCGCAATTTGTCTGGCAGGCGTGTCTGGCCCTTTCCGGAGGCCCACCTTGAAAGAATGGTAGTTCCTATGGGAGGAGGCAGCGAAGGGAGTCCCGCCGCTGCCCCAGGAGGCAGAGAGAGAAGGAGAAGGGCGGGAGGAGGGGAAGGGGGAGCTGGGGAGGGAAGGGGAAGGAGGAGGAAGCAGGGGAGGGAAAAGGGAAGGGAAGGGAGGGGGGGAGGAGGGCGAGGCAGAGGGGGGAAACTGGCGGAAGCGCAAGGAAGATGCCGCCACGGCGGCAGCACGTTGGCGACCTGAGCAACTTGGGCAGGCCAACTATCCCAGCATCACCGAGCGCGCTCCACTGCTCGTCAGGTACCTGCTCGCAAACGCCCGGCAGAAACACTCGTTTGCCTCGATGTCGTATATCGCACACACCCCGCTGGATACATCAACGCCTTGTACCGTAGCGAAGAGGACGTGCTCTGCCCAAAATGCAGCAGCAAAGCCCCGACGATCCGCGCTCAGCCAGATGGCAGGCCTCGCGGGCGCAGCCTCCGCCGCTCGCGCCGCGCTGCGCTCTCCCGGATGCCCAAGACCACCCCCGTAGACCGAGGGGGGGAGGGGGGGGCCCCGCCCGACCATAGCCGGAGCCAAGGGGGGCGCACCCCCCCTCCTCCTCCCCCTTCATCCCCCTCCTCCTCCTGCTCCTCCTCCCCCTCCTCCCCCTCCTCCTCCCCCTCCTCCCCCTCCTCCTCCTCCTCCTCCTCCCCCTCCCTCCCCTCCTCCCTCCTCCCTCCTCCTCCTCCTCCTCCCTCCTCCTCCTCAACCTCCTCCTCCTCCTCCTCCTCCTCCTCCTCCTCCTCCTCCTCCTCCTCCTCCTCCTCCTCCTCCTCCTCCTCCTCCCCCTCCCCCTCCCCTCCCCTCCCCCTCCTCCTCCTCCTCCTCCTCCTCCTCCTCCTCCTCCTCCTCCCCCTCCTCCCCCTCCTCTTCCCTGAGATCTGGGTAACGTTTCTTGTCACACCAGTTTCGGGCCCCGGGGCCGTCACAGATCGATCCTGCTCAGGAGGTGCAGCAGGAAGATTGGGCCCAGGGTTCTGGCAAGTGTTTCACAGCGTCAGATCCAAGGTCTGCTCCTCTCCGCGCTCGAGGGTGGCTCGCCTGAGCCAGACGCGCAGCCGGGAGCCCCCCTCCCCGCGGCAGCCGAGGAAGGCCCGCAGTGCCAGTCATCTCTGCCGCCTGGTGGTGGGAGGGGGAGGTGTGGGAAGTCCCGCCCCAGGTTCTTGGCGTCGCTCGGACGCGTGTTTTTTTTTTCTCCGGCGAGAACCATCGAGGAGCATCTTGGACCATCCTGCGAAAGAATACACGCACGAAATCGAAAAATGCACGGGGAGTGTACGTCCAAGCGATGGCGAGAAGTGCGCCTCCAATGGCTCGGAGGCGGCTGGCCAGCGACCGAAGCCAGAGCCCCTCCGCCAGAAGCCGGCAGCCTGTCCCCGCTGACAATACGCCGACGGCCAAGCAGTGACGAAGCGTCCTGGCGTGCCTATAGGCCCACCAAAGAATGTTCTAAGAACCCTTTGTGGTTTGCACGACATGGTCTTAGACCGCTTCTGGCTGAGACCCATCGGGTTTATGTTCTAAGAGCACTGTTCTTATCACATTCTTTGACTCTAAGAACATGCCGTGGCAGGCCTATAAAACTGCCGGGGCGGTCGGCCCCTGCTCAAGAGGGGGCGTTCCTGCAGGAGCGTGCGCCAGCCAGACCCTCCACCCATCCATCCATGGCCCGCACATCCCACTACCAAGTCGGAATCAACAGTCCAATGACTCGTGGATTGAGTCTCTCCACCCCAACTCACAGGGTAAGACCCAACGCCACAAAGGACGACAGAGAGTGGGAAAAGGTGCGGGCCCGTTGTCCACCGACCGCCTGGCCCAGGTGGGGCGACCCGGACTCTCTTGGAGGGCCGCCTACTTGGTCGACCATCATCATCAGCATCATCAGCAGCAACAGTAGATGCATCCTCATCATCATCAGCATCAGCATCGTTATCATCATCATCATCATCATCATCATCATCATCATCATCATCATCATCATCATCATCATCATCATCATCATCCGCCTCATCATTATCATCATTATCAGCCTCATCAGCAGCAGCTTCAGCATCAGCATCAGCAGTATCATCCTCATCATCATTATCATCATCATCAGCAGCATCATCATCAGCATCATCATCTTCGTATTCAGGTTCAGGTGCGTCCTAATCCTCTCTTCCCCCACCTCGATATTCGGATAATCGATGCTGCGGATCGGCTCGACACCAGGATTGAGACCGTCGACCCACCTCCCGTCTCATCTATACTTAGCGAGGCGGGTGGAAGTAAGAAACCTCCCTCTGGGGGAAGGAGGAAATCTGCTCCTGTTAGGTCTGGAACGTGCGCTTAGCGTGCTTAGCGTGTCGCGCCGTCAGCTCTGGCCCACCACGCTTCGGCGCGACACGCAAACTGCAAACCGCGTCCCAAGTCTCCAGGCGTTGACGTCCGGAGCTCTTCTCCGCCTCGGCGGCCCGCGAACAGCGGAGCGACGTGTTATCAGCTTGCACGGCAGAGCGCGTCGCCAGGGCCGCCGCCGCGACACGCCAAGCAGGACTTCTTGGCGGTAGACGTCGCCGGATGATTGGCCGCGCCTCGGTTCAAGGGCGGCGTGCGCGGCAGAAAGGTTTTCGACACAATTGCGGACAGTAACTTGACTGCACAGGGTCAACGGATTGGGCATGCGCAGGTGCAGAAGACCCGTGGCAAGAACAGGAGAAAAAGCGACGCGGGACGATCTTGGTCTCCTGTTAGGTTGTTGGGCCACACTGTCTGCAGATCCTCCTAATATTCCTCCTTTCTCCTTTCTCATTCTCGCTCTCCTCCACCACCTCCTCATCATCAGCATTCAGCATCGTCGCCATCCTCAGCAGCAGCATCATCGGCATCATCATCATCATCATCATCATCATCATCATCATCATCATCATCATCATCGTCATCAGCACCATCAGGATAATCAGCATCATCCCCATCCGAATCCTCATCCTCATCATCATCATCATCATCATCATCATCATCATCATCATCATCATCATCATCATCATCCTCATCCTCATCCTCATCCTCATCCTCATCCTCATCAGCCTTCTCCTCATCCTCATCATCCTCCTTCTGCTGCTACTCTTCCTCATCTCATATCGTTCTCCTCCTACTCATCCCCCCCGTTTCGTTGTCGTGCTTCTCCATTATCCTGCCTCCTATTCCTGATCCTCCCAAGCCTCCTCCTCATCCTTCTCCTCGTCCGCCTCCTTATCCCTCCTCATCCCTCCTCCTCCTCCTCCTCGTTCTCCCTCATGCTGCCTTCTCGTGCTGGTCGGAGGACCTGTCCGAGTCGGTGGACGCTCTCCAGCGCGCCATCCAGATCTTGAAGAAGCAGGCCTACGACCGAGGGCAGGCCTCGCTCGTACAGGTCGGACGCCCTTCTCGCTCATCCATGGGGGAATGGGTGGGATGGTGGGTGCAGGAGGAAGGCGGGATAAGGGAAGAGAGGGAGGGAGGCGGAGAAAGGGGAGGAGGGGGAAAGGGAGGAGGGGAGGATAAAGAGGAGGATGGATGGATGGATGGATGGAGAAGGATGATGGTAATGATGACAATGAGGAGGAGGAGGAGGAGGAGGAGGATGCGGATGAGCATGAGGATGAGGATGATGAGGATGAGGATGAGGATGATGAGGATGAGGATGACGATGACGATGACGATGAGGATATGAGGATATGAGGAGGATGAGGATGATGAGGATGATCATGATCATGATCATGATCATGACCATAGTGATGATGATGATGATGAGGAGGATGAGGATGAGGATGAGGATGAGGATGAGGATGAGGATGAGGATGAGGATGAGGATGAGGATGAGGATGAGGATGAGGATGAGGATGAGGATGAGGATGAGGATGAGGATGAGGATGAGGATGAGGATGAGGATGATGACGACGACGACGAGGAGGAGGAGAAGGACGAGGAGCAGGAGCAGGAGCAGAAGTTCCAGCAGCAGGAGGGCAGGGCGTGGAGGGAGGAGGGGCCGCAGCGTGGGCCCCGCCAGTGCCGCCCGGGCTCCTCCTCTGGGTGCACCCGGCACGCGCTGGGCGCCGCGCCTGGCTTTTCCCGTGGGACCCTGCCCGTGCTGCAGGCTGCCGACCTCCGTGCCCCGGGGCCTCCCAGACGGGGCCCGAGCAGGGCGTCCGAGCTCGCAGCGCATGGCCGTTCTCCCCGCGCGAGGCGGCTGGGGCTGTGCAGCGTGGCGTGCAGGCAGCGGCGCGGCTCCTGGCGGGAGCGGTGTTCCCGTTGCCCCGTCGGGGCCCGCTGGTCCAGGCCTCCCAGATGGGGTCCAAGCAGATGGGGTCGGAGGGTCGCGCCGCATCGCCGATGCATCGGCGGCGCGTCTCGATGTAGGACCTGATTTGCTTCACGTCGACGCTGCCAATACATCGCCCACGTCGACGACGCAGCGCCGGTGCATCGCCGATGCATCGGCGATGCGGCGCGATCCTCCGGCCCCATCTGCTCGGACCCCATCTATGAGGCGGCCTCTAGCGTCGGTTGGTTGTCCGGCTTGATCTTGAGAGTCCGAGCAGCTGCAGGGCCCTGACTCGCACAGTGCGGTTCGCAGTGGCAAGAAGCGGCTCGCAACCACGAGGGGGGCGCTGAGGTCGGTTGATTTGCCGTTGGTTCATGCGCCGATGGCGCGCCGGCGACGCCGGCGAAGGCGTCCAAGGTTGAATTCCGCACGATAGGGCGACGCGGAAGCACTGAGGGACACGGTAACGCCTCAGGACCCAACGGGATTCAATCTCGAACGATTTGGGCCGCAATCGGTTCAAGGTTGAGCTGACCGAGCGAGTTCCACTACTCGCAAAGTGCCTACTCGCAGACGCCGGCAAAACCCATGATCGCCTCGATGTTACGGATCGTGCATCCCCCACGGTGGATCCAGGCCATTCGCGAGCAGCTACTTTGCAAGTCCTGCAGCGCGCTCGTTGCGAACGATCGACGCGGCGCCAGAAATTTTCGCGCGCGCCAAAGCCGCGCGAACTTGCCGCACCCGCGCTCTCCCGCTCCGCCCCCTGCTCGTCCTCGGCCAGCGCCGCCGCTCCCGCGTCGCCCCCGCGCAGCGTCGCCAGTGCGGTTTCCGTCCAGGGGCCTCCTCGCCGCCGCGTCCACCGCCATGGCCCAGTGCGCGCCCTGCTCCTCAGAGATACTCCTCCTTTTCCTCCTCCTCCTCCTCCTCATCATCATCCTCCTCCTCATCCTTTTCCTCCCCCTCATCATCATCCTCCTGGGCAGTGGCTCGCAGGGCCTCCATGCGAGGAAGAAGAAGAAGAAGAAGAAATGACGGCATAAGCATAAACTTCGGACGCCCCGCGCGGATTCCTTGGACGTGCGCTCTGCCCCCACGACGGCGCCCCTGGCGGCGCCCCGCGCGTAAGGGAGGGAGTTCCGGCGCAGATCCAGGAAATCCGCGTGGACCTCCGAGAAGTTTTGGACGCTTCGCGCAACCCCACCAGCCCACCCAGAATCGATGCCCAGACGAGCTGCCCTGATCAGGGATGTGGAGGAACATGCAGTGGAATAAAGGGTTGGCTAGGACGTCATACCCCCAGAGAGGAAGGATGGAAGAGGAAACAGAGGAGGAGGAAGAGGAGGAGGAGGTCCGACAAAGTATGCTTATGCATTTTTACTTCCTTTGCCCATAAGGGCAGAGTCGGCGGGCGTCGGGCCGGCAAGGCCTTGGTTCCCGTGGTGCGGGGAGGGGCGGCGCTGCGGGTGGAGCCGGAGTTCGTCAGGTTGGGGCTCGGACGCATCAGCTCGTCTCGCCCACTCACTGCAGCAGAGTGTTCGAGGGCGGCCAGGAGGATGTGGAGGAAGGCAACGAAGAGGGAGGCAGAAACTGGAGGAGAGAGGAGGGAGGAGGGAAGATGAGGATGGAGGGGGAAGACAAGGACGAGGACCGGAGTAAACCCAAGATTCGTCAACTATGTTGCACTACAGTGGAAGCCCATGCCAAGAAACACCCTGCTCGCCTCCAGGGTACCCTGGATTTCTTGGGCTTCGATGGCTTTGCTATGGAAAGCGTGACGCTCCCACACCAAAATTCGATGGACGCCCTGGGGTCTCAGGGTCAGGTTTCTTGTGGAAGGTTTCTTGTGGGCTGGCCTCCACTGTAAAGCCGAGATTCATCAAAGATGTTGCAATACGCCCACCCGTCTCGAGCCCCCCTCCTCATATGCTTCTACAGGCCTTCCATCCCCCTCTCAAGAGGCACCCCCTTGAAAGGCACACCGTGGGCCTGCCACTCAGGCGAGACCGTTGCTTTGAAAAGGAAACAGATGCCTCGTGTTTTCCAGCGAGACATCAGGAACGCGCGGAGGTATGATCAGACAGTGCAGCGAGGTGTCGAGCGAGATTCCCGTTATAATTTCTCGATTCGGAGATCCTCAGATGTGCATCTCATACTCCTGTCACGCTTCGTTGGGGAATTTTGTCTGTGAGTACTTGGGTGTGAAATCAAATCCGCGTAGACCGCGGGCGCGACAACGACGACGACACCAGCAACGGCTTCAGTGACATCGTTCTCCTCTGGGCGCCGTTTCAGGAGAGATGAAGGAAACACCGTTGTATGAGCGAGAAGGGCTCCCTCTTGCCGTTCTCAATTCGGCAACTCATGCACGAGCGCATGGCGTTGCTACGCCCGCTCTCTGGCGTGCTACTCGCGGCGTCTGCTGGCATCTGGGGGTGCCTAACTGCCATGCCTGATTGATCGCGGTGACCACGTGCGCGCGTGAGCCTTTTATGCGAGCGAATCTGAGCCTGAAAGATCTGCGCGCGAGCGAGTCTGAGCGTGCGCAGGGCAGGGTATGATTGCGCCTGGACGCGACTTGGTCTGAGCGTAGTGGGTCTGAGTACGGGCAGGTTTGATTATGAGCGAGTTTGAGTGCGAGGTGGTTTGGGCGCGAGCGGGCTTGAGCGTGAGCGAGTGGATCTCAGTGTGCGCCAGCTTGCGCGTGGGCCAGCCCAAGTTCGAGCGAGTCTGAATATGAGCGAGTCTAAGTATGAGCGAATTGGTGCATGAGAAACCTGAGTATGAGCGAGTTTGAATGTGATGACTGGGTATGAGCAAGGAAAACGTGACGATGAGTAAGTCTGGTTGTGAATGAGGAGCAGGAGAGCAGGAAGAGGAGGAGCAAGCGGAGGAGACGGAAGTAACAGAGTGAATGAAGAGCACACGAATCCAAAGAGAAGACGTGGGTGGGGGGGCGAAACAGGCAAACCGCCCGAGACACCCCAACAATCTGGACGCGACGCTAATCTTCGGGTCCCCCCCTTCCCCTTTGGGATGCCCAAGCGGCATGCCTGCTATATCTCTGTGAGCAATGGACCACAAAAAAATAATTTCCGGGGGCGGAAACAGGCAAACTTCTTGAGCCACCCCTACAATATGGGCGTCAATTTTGGAACGTCCTCCCCGTTTTCCCCCCTTGGTGTGCCCAAGGGCCACGCCTGCTATATCGCGGTGAGCAGTGGATTACCTAAGGGGAAACACAAGCTCGGGGGTGACAAAAGCAGGCAGTCCGTTTGAGACATCCCCACAGTCCGGGCGTCAGTTCTGGAACGTCCCCCCGTGGCTCCCTTTTGGGTGCCCAAAAAAAAAAGAAGGATTACCAAAAGAAGAAGGAAGTGTGGGGAGGCAGGAACAAGCAAGCCGCTTGAGATATCCCCATAATCTGCGCGCGAATGCCCAAGCGCCACGCCTTCCATTTCCCGGTGATCAGCGGACCACAAGTACAGAGGCAAAACCAGGCAAACCGCTGATCCACCCCCACAATCTGGACGCGAACGGGCCCGTGCAATACCCCCTGGCGGCTCTTCCCCCTTTTGGGTGCCCAAATCCCACCACTTCTCCATCGCGGTGAGCACTGGAGAAGTCTGAGGGCAGAAGCAAGCAAGCCGCCTGAGCCACCTCCACAATCTTGGCGGGAACGGGCCCGTGCATTACCCCTCTGGCGGCTCCCCCCTTGGGATGCCCAAGCGCCACGCTGTCTATATCGCGGTGAGCAGTGGACCACCAAAAAAGAGAAGTGCGGGGGACAGAAAAAAAACAAAACAAAAAAAACGCTTGAGGTATCCCCACAGTCTGAGCGCGAACGGGCCCGTGCAAAACCCCTTGGTTGTTCCCGTTTGGGGTGCCCGAGCGTTACGCCAGCTATATCGCGGTAAGCAGTGGACCACCAAAAGAGAGAAAGAAGCCTTGGGGGCAGACGCAGGCAAACCGCTGGAGGCATCCCCACGATCCGGGCGCGAACGGGCCCGTGCAAGATGGCGGCTCCCCCTCGGGAGTGTTGAAACCACCGCCTCGCCTGAGATATCCTCACAGTCTGTGTGTGAGTGATTATACAGATGAGTGAGTCTGAGTGAGAATGTGATGTGGCTGGGTCTGAGCGAGGAACAGTGAGTCTGAATTGGAGAGTCTGAGCGTGTATGAGCGAGGGCGGATCTGTGTATGAGTATGACTGATCTAGACATGGATATCTGAGTGATTCTGACTGAGAGAGCTTGTGCGTATGAGTGGGAGCGAGTCTGGGTATGAGTATGAGTTGCCTGAGTATGAGCAAACCGGGTGAGGAAGAGGAACGGGAGGAGAAGATGCGTCGTGTGCGCAAGGGGAGGAGAAAAGAGGGAGCGAGGGAGAAGGAGGCGTCTGAGCAACAGCAAGAACACAGTCTCAGGATGTTGTGAGAGAAGGCCACCCTTTCGATGTGTCACCCTTGCACGAGTGTACACGCACGGCCGTGCGCGTCGAGGAGGTCCCCACCGAAGGCCCAATGTTGCAAGGATTCCGCCGTTCAGCCGCGCAGCTGTGCCGTGCATGTCAGTTCCTCGCCATCAAACTTGAAGCCCCAGGCGAACGCACATGCTTCTTTTCAAACAAAAACAAAAACAAAAAAAAGGCCGTTCATCCGTGCAGCTGGTGCATGTGCCCAAGCTCCTGGCCTCATTTGACGACGTCGCCCAGCGAAGGGCAGCCCAGCGTGGAGAGAGAGAGAGAGAGAGAGAGCCGCCCACGGCCCAACGCAGCGGCCCCGAGTTGTTGCCACGGCCGTGCGCGGCGCCGAGGCGACAGCCCCACGTTGGGAAAGGGAGCCGCCCTTCGCCCGGAAACCGCTGCACCCTTCTCAGAGCAAGCAAGCGCGGCGGCACGGGGAGGGCAGACATCTCAGACTCGCCCCCATCCACTGATGAGCTGCTACAAACTTGTCAGCCGAAGGTGCGCGGCGCTGGGGTTGAGAGCCTGCATTCTGGAAACGGCCCCCCTCCATGCACGAAACTGCTGCCATGATTCAATATGTGAATTGTGAACTGCTTAGACTCGCCCCCATCCATCTATGAACTGCTACAAACTTGTCAGACGAAGGTGCGCGGCGCTGGGGTTGAGAGCTGCATTCTGGAAACGGCCCCCCTCTCCATGCACGAAGCTGCTGCCATGGTTCAGGCGGTTCGCCCAGCGCTGTGGCGACAGCCACGTCTTGAGCACGGCGCCCTCCATCCTTGAACTGCTGCAAACGTGTAAGACGAATGTGCGCGGTGGTAAGCCGAGAGCCACATTTTGAAAAAGCCCCCCTCTCCATCTTTGAAATTGTTGCAACTGTCTAGACGACTGTGCGCGGCGCTAAGGCGAGAGCCTCACTTTACACCCCCCCTTCCATCCTTGAAGCCTTGCGAATTTCAAGCGTCAGGATCAGCAATGGTGAGGAAGTCTCAGACGAAACGTCTGGTCCGGCCTACCGACACGCCTGGGGGTGCGACAGGGAGGAGTTATTCATAAGGACAACGGTTGGAGGAGGAGGAGGAGGAGGAGGAGGAGGAGGGGGAGGAGGAGCAGGAGGAGGAGGAGGCTGAGGAGGAGGAGCAGGGAGGAGGAGGAGGAGGAGGAGGAGAAGGAGGAGGAGGGGGAGGAGGAGGCGGAGGATCGAGGAGCAGCAGCAGGCGGTGATCGAAGGCGAGGCCCACGGCAGGTGCAGGCCCTGCAAAGCGACAAGCTCATCCCAGACGAGGCCAAGAGGGCCATCGCGGCATTTCTGCAGCAGGACCCGGCAGAGGACACGGAGGGGGGGTAGCCCTTGCTTTGCGGCGTCGTAGCCTTGCACGCGTCGGTCCGCGAAGGCGGCAGGGAGCGGCCACCAGAGACGCGTTTCCTTTACGGTGTGGGTCAGGGGGTGAGGCCCGCAGGCCGGAGGGGGTTTGAGCACGATGTTTTGACACAGATGTTGTTGCGGCCGCCCCACTTGGACGGAGGGGGGGGGAGTGGCGAGCGGATCGCGTGCGGAAGTTCTCCATGAAGCCAACGGGTCATGAGGGAAACGGGTCCTGAGGCGTTTCCCCCATGTCTGGCCTCCAGTACCCAGCTCGGGATGACGGACTGGTCCCTGGGGAAGGCCCCGGGGTTCAGGACCCGTTTCCCTCAGAACACGCTAGTTGCACGCCAAGAACGGATCGCGTGCGGAAGTGACCTCCAGGCGGGCGTTGCCGCGAACGCCTGCCACCGCGCTTGGGGTGGCCGCAAGGCTTTGGGACTCGGGGTCGTTCTCCGAGGACGGCTCGGGCGGCCGAGGCCTCCGAGGTCCCAAAGCCATGCGGCCACGGACCGTGCAGTGAGGCCTCTTGGGATTTCGAGGCCACTGCGCGTTCTGTCACCGCCCCCGTTTTGGGGGGGGCCCACAGGTGAGCGGCAGAAGAAAGCGGCGTCGACTGCGCGGCCGCTCGCGCGTGGGCCGCCCGCGCAGGAGGGTGCGCCGACGCGGTGTGCCGCCGCGGCGGCCCGCGTGCTCCGCGGCGTGAGGTCATCATGCCTTCTCAAGTGAGACCCCGCTTCTCTTCCGCCGCTCGCATGCTCTCCAGGCCGATGCTGCCGCGCGCAGCCGCCGCCACTGCTCGGGGGAGGGCCCCCCCCTCCCTCCACACCACCACCACGACCACCACCACCACCACCACCTCCTCCTCCTCCTCCTCCTCCTCCTCCTCCTCCACCTCCATCTCCTCCTCCTCCACGTCCTTCACCTCCTCCTCCACCACCACCTCCTCTTCCTCCTCCTCCTTCATCTCCTCCTCCTCCTCCTCCTCCTCCTCTCCTCCTCCCTCCTCCTCCTCCTCCTCCTCCTCCTCCTCCTCCTCCTCCTCCTCCTCAGCGCTGGCCGCAGCGCTGCGCGGCCTGCAGCGCCGCGCGGCGTTGGCGGGCGAGGAGCCGGTATGAAATGAACGGTCCCGCCTTCATGGGCGCTTGCCCTCTGGGCGGCTGGGACGTCTGCACTCAGGCCCGACCAGGCAGAAGACAAGCAGTGTGGCCTGCCCCAGTGCGCCGAAGGCATGGTGCCAGATCCAGGCAGCAGTGAACGAGTCGTGTCCTACCAGAGAGGTGCTGGTAGCGAGTTCCGTGTCGAGCAACATGTCTTTTCTGTGGCTCAGACCTGGTTGCTGCGAAGCAATATGATGTATTGGTTTCTGTTGATCGGTGTGGTTGGTGGCGTGCCGCTTTCTTGTGTGGCCAAGTCGACAATGCTCTGTCGGACCGACACCACAGTGCAGCACTCGTGGGAATTCAACGTGGCCAACCTCACGGGCATGACAGAGCTGGACATCCCCACCACTTTCATCAGGGAGTTGGAGGATACGAGTTTGAAGCGTCAACGGAGATTGGCAGCGTCCCATTTCGATGGCGAGGAGATGCAGGACAGAGTGTGCAACGTGGTTTTCTGAGTTTTGCTCGAGAGATTTCGTGAAGGGCCAGATGGAAAGCGCGTGGCAGGACTGCTGCTGGTCTCAGCGGCGGGCGCCGCATGGCCACGCACACGCAGGTCCACGAGAGCCCAGCAGGATCTGTCGGAGGCCAGCGCCATATGCCGTCGCGAAAAGAAAACATTATTTCTTCGTTGGTGGACCTGTGAGGGTCGTGAGTCGCATGAGCTTGTCGCGTCGTCTGACGAATCTGCTGTCCAAGCTTCTCCTCGGTATGGAGCTGAACCGCGCTTTGGGATGAGGGGGGTGCCCCCAGCCAGTTGGGTGCGCCTCCCACCCACCCACCCCAGGAGCATGCAGAGTGGAGTTGCTTCGGCATCAATGAGTTCGGTAAGAGTGAACTCGGGCACGGAGTCGAATCCAAACCCTTGTACAACTTTCGGGATGCGAGCGGCAGGGAGGACAGCCACGACATGCGTCTTCGGCGAGTGGGTGTAGGGTTGGCCGTGTATAGTGAGCTCTAGGAGCTCATGCACATGCGTAAGACTGTTCGGGGAGGTCTCCCAGGGGAGACCCAGACGGTCCCTCGTGGCGAGGTGCTTGGTTTATTTACGGCCTTCCCAGGGGCCACAGGCCACATTGCATATGCAACCGAAAATGCGAACGTTTGCAGTGGGTGGCACACTTGTGCATATAACTATAACACTCCTCCAGACGAGAACGCTGACATTTGGCATGAGATCGGCACGTTGCTGAGTCGGCGTCGTGACGTTGAGTGTGTGCTTTTCGTCCACTCGCACCAGGAAGCCACAGGCATTCTGCAAGGCAAGTCACCTAGACTGCTCCTGCTGGGTATCACTGCTGCGGATCAGTTAGCGTCGGAGGCGGCCGAGACGGTCAGAGCTTCCGAAGGCTAAAAAGGCCGACTTGCTCAGGCAGAGAAAATGGTTGACACAGTTCGCAGCCTGAGAAGCCTATTGAGCATTGTACAGACCCTCAGGGCCGATGAGATTCTAGCACTCGATGAGCCTCGGAGACCAAGTTCCGCACCCTGGACCCAGGCCTCCTGCTCCTAGAAGTGGCAGGTCTTTCCCACTGCACATAAGCTGTCCGACCGCCGTAGCACGTGCTTGCAATGTCAGGGGCCGGCCTCCCAAGCCGCCACGAGGGGGGCCTGGCTGGATTCACCGTGCGTTAATATGTGTCCAATCGATGGCACAGCAAATGCGCCCCCATCACGGGTGCCGGATGCATTTCTACGGGGGGTGTAGGCACACAGCAGTCATAGCTTAAAGTTTCACGATGGTAGGGATGTGTGTTCGCGGGACGGCTTCAGGTGCAAAGGGGGCCTGGTGGTTTGGCTTCAGTCGTTTTCGGCCCCCCGCGATTTTAAGATTTTTGCGCGAAGCTTTCCTCCTCTTCCTCCTGCGTAAAATGTTCCTCCTCCTCTTCCTCCTCCTCCTCCTTATCCTCCTCCTCCTCCTCCTCCTCCCCCTCCTCCTCTCCCTTCATCTTATCAACCTCTCATCCTCCTCATCATTATTCTCTTGCTCGTCCTCACCCCCACACACACACACCGTTCCCCCTCCTCCTCCTCCTCCTCCTCCTCCTCCTCCTCCCCCTCCTCCCCCCTTCCAAAGGAAAGCAATAACTTTAGTTAAAACCTGGGGGGAAAAGAAAAAAAAAGAATGAAGTGCTGGAGGCTGACACTTTGGAAATCACCTGGGGAAGAAGAAGAAGAAAGAAAACAAACAAAAACCTAAAGATCCCAGGGCATACCCGTCCGAAGGGACCACCTCCTCGTCCTCCTCCTCCTCCTCCTCCTCCTCCTCCTCCTCCTCCTCCTCCTCCTCCTCCTCCTCCTCCTCCTCCTCCCCCCCTTCCAGCGGAACGCCATAAGTTTAGGAAAACCCTGAGAGAACAACAACAACAACAAAAATTGTAGTGCTGGAGGCTGAAACTTTGGAAAACAACATTAAAAATAAAAATCCTGGCAATGCCGCCCGCCCATGTAACCTCTCCTTTGGGGCGGACGGGATTTCCATGAGATCTTTGGTTTGTTGTTTCTGTTGTTCTAAAGGTTGTTCTAAGATTTCCGCCTCCAGCACTTCAGTTTCTTTGGTTGGTTAGGTTTATTATCATGGTTGTCCTGAGAGGTATGGCCTTCCTCTGGAAGGGGGAGGAGGAGGAAGAGGAGGAGGAGGAGGTTGTAGAGGCTTTCAATCGGAATCCTTATGTAGAGGATTTCAATGGGGATCCTTTCGTATTGGCTTTCAATGGGAATCCTTTTGTAGAGGCGATCAATAGGAATCCTTTTGTAAAGGCTTCCAACAGGAATCCTTATGTAGTGGCTTTCAATAGGAATCCGTCCGTAGCGGCTCTCGGAAGGAATCGTGTTGCATTGGGTTTCAATTGGAATCTTTTTTGTATTGGTTTTCAGTGGGAATCATTTTTGTAAGTGCTTTCAAGACTTTCAATAGGAAATATTATGTAGAGGGTTTCCATAGAAATCCTTGTGCAATGGCTTTCAATAAGGATCCTTTTGTAGAGGCGTTCAATAGAAATCCTTTTTTAGCGGTTTTCAATAGGAATCCTTTTGTAGGGACTTCCAATAGGAATCATGTTGTAGATGCTTTCAATAGGAATCCTTGTGTAGAGGCTTTCAATGGGAACCCTTGTGTAGAGGATTTCAAAGGGAATCCTTGTGTAGAGGCTTTCAATAAGAGTCCTTGTGTAGAGGCTTTCAATAGGAATCCTTTTGCCAAGGCTTTTAATAGGAATCCTTTGTAGAGGATTTCAATGGGAATCCTTTTGCGTTGGCTTTCGATAGGAATCCTTGTGTGGAGGCGTTCAATAGGAATCGTTTTGTAGAGGATTTCAATAGGAATGCTTTTGTCAAGGCTTTCCATAGGAATCCTTCTGTAGAAGCTTTCAATATGAATTGTCAAGGCTTTCAATAGGAATCCGTTTGTAGAGGCTTTCAGTATGAACCCCTTTTTCAAAAGGCGGAGGCGCTCAAGAGGAAGATAGAGAGAGAGAGAGAAGGACAGAGGGGGAGGCGTAGGGATAGTTTCGCATCGGTTTCCTTAGTAAAAAGAACACACAAAGGGCACCAGGCCCCATTTGCACCTGGAACCCGCGGGACTTCCGCGGGACTTGCGGGAGTTCTGCGGTCCAACAGCAATGGTCTCGGCAATGCTCTTGGCAATCGTATATATATATATATTACTTGAGTCATATAGACGGGAGTCTGGCCTAAGGCTTACAGCAAAGCCGAGCAGGACAGACGCGAAACTCGATAGCATCATGTAGTAACCGACAGATTCGCAACATCCGTAACTTCTCCTCCTCCTCCTCCTCCTCCTCCTCCTCCTCCTCCTCCTCCTCCTCCTCCTCCTCCGAAGGTGCACGGGAGGTCCATGGAGGCCTCCAGAGGTTCCTGGAAGCTTCTAGAGGGCCAAGAACGCCCCGACGAGACTTCGGTCCTCGAACGCTACTCCTGGATCATCGACCCTCGATCCCTGCATCTTGGAACCCCGATCCTCGATCCTCGATCCTCCTCGATCCTCCTCGACCCTGCCCCCCCCCCCCCCAGCAGGAGAGCCTGCTCGCGATCACGGCGCCGGAGGCGGCCGGGCGCCCCCCGCGGGGCCGCCCTGCAGGCGTGAGTTGCCCCCGTTCGCATCGCCGCTGCCGCCGATCGATCGGTCGATCGTGCATCGAGGGTCGATATATCCGATCGGTCGCCCGAGGATCCAGGGTCGAGGGTCGATCGATCAATCGAGGGTCGATCGAGGATCGAGGATCGAGGATAGATCGATTCCTGCCACGGGGGGTCTTGTCTCGGGGGCCGCGGGCCGTCAGGAGTCGATCGGCAGCGGGGAGGGGGAACTGGCTGCGATTTGCCCCCCCCCCCCCCCCCCAGACTCGTTCTGAGCAGGTTTGGGGTCGGCGCCGCTGTCGCCGTCGCCGTCGCCTGGCCGAATAGCCCTATGATCCGCTGTCACCCAGGAGCTGTCTCCCAGCTGTGGCAACAGCAGGAAGAGGAGGGGAAGGAGCAGGAGGAGGAGGAGGAGGAGGAGGAGGAGGAGGAGGAGGAGGGGGAGGAGGAGGAGGAGGAGGAAGAGGAGGAGGAGGATGGAGGGGGATCTTCAAGGGTTCAGGGGATTCTGTGGGGGTCCAGGGATTCGAAGTTTCTGGAGGGGTCCAGGGGGCGCCTGGATCCTCATCATCCTCATCACCACGACAAAATCATTCTCATCCATCATCGTCCTCTTCCTCCTCCCTTTGCCTCCCTACGACCCTTCCATCCCTCCTCCTCCCTCCCTCTCCCTCCTCCCTCCCTCCCTCCCTTCCTCGTCCCTCCCTCCCTCCCTCCCCCCTCCCTTCTCTCCCCGCGCGCCCGGGAGTGCAGGAGGTAGGGGGGAGGGGGAGGAGGGGGAGGAGGAAGAGGAGGAAGAAGAGGGAGAACAGGATGAGAATGAGCATACAGAAGGAGGAGGAGGAGGAGGAGGAAAGAAAAGAGGAGGAGAGCGGAGGTGGAGCGGCCATAGGTACGAGTTCCAGTCGCACGGCATCATAGAGATGTTAGCCAAGTTGCTTGACAAGTTCATCAGTGATCCCCGCCAACGGGAACAGACCTCGCTTCCCCGGAAGAGGAGGATGGAACCCCGCCCCCCTGATTGCCATGCCCCACTTGGGCTGTTGCTCCACAGCCATAGAAATCACCATAGGCATCATCCTCATCGTTATCATTATCAGTATCACCACCATTATCATCATAACTGCCACCATATCGGACTCCCTCCCCCGATCATCATCACCTTCTCCCTGCGCCATTCCCAGGTTCCGGATCACCAGTCGTCGGTTAGGAAGAGAGCACGCCGCCAGTTCATCAGATAACCGACGATGTTGGTGATGAATCTTTGGATCCACGCACGTACACGCACCAGTGTACGTACACAACGTACACGCATTCATGCGAAATCATTCGCATACGCGGTCCCGACGCATGCACATTTGCAAGCGCATGCGCATGCATGACCCAGATATGCGCGGGTATACGCCGCAGATAAATCCAGATGAGGCCCCGGTTGCGCCAGAATTGACCCCAGTTTAAAGCGAGTGGGAAACATGCACGCGCACGTAGGACAAGCGCATTACATACGCACATGTGTACACCATGATTTGCAAATGTTGCTTGCACACCCCCGTACAGACGTGTCCGCATATATATATATGTATATATATGCATACACACATACATACGTACATACTTACATATATATATACATACATACAGACAGACAGACAGACAGACAGACAGACAGAGAGACAGACAGACAGCCAGACATACATATATATATATATACAGATGTACATGTGTACGTGCGTGCATACATGCTTGCATACATACACACATACGTACATGCATGCATACATACAAACATACATACGTACGTTTGTATGTACATGTTTACACTTATATACACACACGGGCGACTGGGGGCATTATCCTCATCATCACCATGTTCTTCCTCCTGCTCGTTGTCCTTATCGTGGTCCCTCCTCTTCGCATCTCACCTCTTCATCTCTCGTCCTCCTTATCTTCCTCATCCTCCTCATCCCCTTCGATTGGTTAATTGTCCTCACCCTCATCATCCTCATCCTCCTCATATTCCTCATCCCTATCATCTTCCTCCTCTCCTCATCCACATCTTCATCATCATCCTCATCGTCCTCCCCTCCTCCTCATCGCCTTATCATTTTTATATTCCTCATCCTCCTCATCCTCCAGCGCTTGGGGCAGGGAGCGAGCAAGTGTTACTCGTTTTCCTCCTCCTACTACTCCTCTCCTCCTCATCATCCTCTTCCTCCCCTCCTCCCCTTCTCCTCCTCCTCCCCTCCTGCTGCTCCTCCTCCGACTCCTCCTCTTCCTTCTCATCCTCCTCCTCCTCTTGTTTGTCTTGTTTGTCTTCCTCTTCCTCTTCCTCCTCCTGTGTAGCAATACAAAACCAAACATTGGCCTGGCGAAGGACCCAACCATATGCAGTTGGGAATACTGGAGTTGTATGCACCACATTCGGAGGAGCCCCCCTATGGGGGCTACCAAACGTGTGAGGGGCGTGCCAAAATGGGCGCGGTGACCGCATGCGAACGCTGGCATTTGAGCCTTCTGTGGGGCTGCCTATGGAGTCACGAAACGTGTCAGGAGTGTACCAAAAATGGGTGCGATGGCCGCATGCGAACGTTGGCATGTGGGCATTCGGTGGGGCCCCTTATGGAGCCACGGGACGTGTGAGGGGTGTGCCAACATGGGTGCGGTGGCCGCATGTGAACGCTGGCAGTTGGGCCTTCGGTGGGGCTCCCTATGGAGCCACGAAACGTGTCAGGAGTGTGCCAACATGGGTGCGGTGGCCGCGTGTGAACGCGGGCATTTGGACCTTCTGTGGGGATCACAATGGAGCCACGAAACGTGCCAGGAGTGTGCCAACATGGGTGCGGTGGCCGCATGTGATCGCGGGCATTTGGACCTTCTGTGGGGATCACAATGGAGCCACGAAACGTGTGAACGGTGTACCGAAAATGGGTGCGGCCGCATGCGAACGCTGGCATTTGGGCCTTCTGTGGGGCCCCCTGTGGAGCCACGAAACGTGTGAGGAGTGTGCCAACATGGGTGCGGTGGCCGCATGTGAACGCTGGCATTTGGGCCTTCGGTGCGGCTCCGTATGGAGCCACGAAACGTGTGAACGGTGTACCAAAAATGGGCGCGGTGGCCGCATGCGAATGCTGGCATTTGGGCCGTTGGTGGGCTCCCTCTGGAGCCACGAAACGCGTGAAGGGTGTGCCAAAATGGGCGCGGTGGCCGCATGCGAACGCTGGCATTTGGGCCTTCGGTGGGGCTCCGTATGGAGTCACGAAACGTGTCAGGAGTGTGCCAACATGTGCGCGGTGGCCGCATGCGAACGCTGGCATTTGGGCTTTCGGTGGGGCTCCTTGTGGGGCCACGAAACGTGTGAGGGATGTGCCAAAATGAGTGCGGTGGCCGCATGCGAACGCTTGCGTTTCGGCTGTTGGTGGGGCTCCCTGTGGGGCCACGAGACGTGTGAGGGGTGTGCCAACATGGGTGCGGTGGCCGCATGCGAACGGTGACGCTTGGGCCTTCGGAGGGGCCCCGCAATGGGGCCACGAAACGTGTGAGTGGTGTGCTGAAACGGGCAATAACGATGATGAGAGGAGGAGGGAGGGGGCAGCGGGAGGAGGAGGAGTGAACGCGGGGACCGTCTCTTGAAAACAAGGACCCAACACCACAGGATGGTTGGGAAATAGACAACGTTTGGCGCCCTCGGTGCAAGGAAACGCTTTGTATGGTTTACTGCCTTTGTCTTGTGGTCTGGGAAGCAAGGAAACACTGCGTAGTTCTGGGTGTTTGGGTGTTTCGGGCTTGGGAGGCTCAGAGACGGGTGCTGGGAGGGAGGCCGCGGCGAGCACGTGCCCCCCCATAAAAATGCAAAAGGGCGTGTCCTTGCACCCCCGCTCCTCCTCGTCCTCCTCCTTCTCTTCCTCCGACTCCAGCACGACAGGTCTCTTCCGCTCTGTAGCAACACAAACCAAAGAATAGACAGCGTGTGGCACCCTCGGTGCAAGTAAACGCTGCGTATGGCTTGTTCTTTTGGTTCCTTGGTCTGGGAAGCAAGGAAACACTACGTAGTGTTGTTTGCTTGGTTTTTTTGTTCGGGCGGCTCCGAGAGGGGTGACGGGAGGGAGGCCGTGGCGAGCACCGGAGGCCCCAAAACAAACAACAAAAACATAAAGTCAGTGTAAACATGCACAGCGTGTCTTCGTTTCACAGATCGAAATATACATTTAAAAAAGTACCTCCTTGCACCGAGGGCGCCAAACATTGCGCAGGCTTGGCTTTTGCGCCTGGGAGGCGCAGAGGAGGGTGCTGGGAGGGAGGCCCGTGCGAGCCCTGGGGTCTGCAAAACAAACAATGGTTCAATGCTTCCCAGACCAAAAAAAAACATCCAACAAATACACAGCGGTTCCTTGCACCGAGGGCGCCGAACGCTGCCTATGTTTGGTTTTGCGTTGCTACAAAGAGGACGAGGAGGAGGAGGAGGAGGAGGAAACGGAGGAGATGGAGAAGGAGGAGAAAGAGGAGGAGGAGCGGGGGAGGTGGAGGAGGAGAAGGAAGAGGAGGAGGAGGAGGAGAAGCAGGAGGAGAACGAGGACGACGACGAGAAAACGATCAGTGAAGGTTTGGGTTGTTTGGGGGGGTGGGGGGAGGTGGCCGTATAGAGAGACACAATGGTACATTGGGACATGCACACATGAATGTGAACGCACACGTGGTACGAATGCAGCATTGCATCCACGTGCAAGCACACACACACACACACACACACACACACACACACACACACACACACACACACACGCGCGCGCGCGGACATGCTCGGCCTGCGGAGACAGCGGGGAAGCGCGATGCCAGGTGAGCGCACCACGCTCGAGAAGGAGGAGCTGAACAAGAAGCACGCCCACCACCTCACGATGCAGGACCTCAGCGCTCAGAGCGACCAGGCGAAGCAGGACGTGTCGGACAAGACGCAGCTCAAGGCCAAGAACCTGGAGATGGCCGCGGACGCCAAGGCCGACCTGACCGAGACGCAGGACTGGCGCACGCAGGGGCCTGCGGCCCCCCGCGGTGCGGCGACGCAGAAGGGGCCCGCGCCCCGCCGCCCGCCACAGGCAGGGCGGGCCTGGTGCACACCAGGGCAGGGAGGCTGCCCCTGAGGAGCTGCTCGCCCTGCTCTCCTCAGCTGCTGTTGGGGGACACCTGCCGGGGCAGGCGTGCGGCCATAGCGCGACATGAACGTGCTCGCCTCGCAACGCAGAAGGGCCCGCCCCTCCGCACGCGTCCCCCCCCCCTGGGCTCGCCGCCAGTTGCAGCCGCGGGCGCTGGAGGAACCGGGTCCACCCGCGGGGGTGGCGACGAGAGCCGCGCCCCGCGGCGTCGGCCAGGGAGCGGTCCTCCTCCGACTTGGGCGGGCGGCGCGAGGGCGCGGAGGCACCGTCGCGTCGCACGTCGTGCAGCGCGGAGCGCAGAGTTGGACGGCACAGGCACCCATCGGTCGTGGAGGTTAGACATTCGCGGGCTCCCAGACTCTAAGCTACGTTAGGCGCCGTCCTACTGCAAGGATCGAGCGGCTTCCCCTGTTTCCTTCGTCTTCAGGGGTGCGGGCGGGAACCCGATCTGCTTCCAACGCCTTCCTACTTCGTGGTTCGATCCGCTCCTGGCGGCCGACGGGTAAGCAGCAGTCCTTCGACCTGGGAGGCGCGCGCGCTCCTCATTTCGAGGGGTCCGCTTTGGAGGCTGGGGTGGGCCTCTCGGCGAACGACCAGCCAAGCTGCCGTCAGCTGCCGGCCAGGCTACATCCCAGCGGAGGCATCCTTTCGAAGGGAGCTGTGCACTCAGGTCAAAGGAGCTTCTGCGGGGTCGCAGGGCTCGACTCGTCTCGCTCGCTCGTTCCTCGCACGTTTTGCCGGGTTCGGCTCGCGCGCAGACGCCCTGTTTCAAGGGGGTCGGGGTTTATGCCACATCTTGCCGGTGTAGGATCGGTGCACTCTTGCGCCCCCTGGGCGCCGCCAACCCCCCCCCCTACTGCCCAACCTGGCTATTGTGTTGAGGACAAAGTTTTGGCATGCTTCATGGTCTTCAAACGGTTGTCTTCCAACGAGGCAGTTCACTCAGTGGAAATGAGCCGCTGCAGAGGCTTATGAAGAGGGAGCTTGAAGGGAGGGTCTATTACAACATCGTTGATGGCTCTTGGGTTTACACTGACCCTCCTCCTCCTCCTCCTCCTCCTCCTCCTCCTCGTCCTCCTCCTCCTATCCCTACTCCTACTCTTCCTCCTCCTCCACCTCCTCCTCCTCCTCCTTCTCCTCCTCCTCCTCCTCCTCCTCCTCCTCCTCCTCCTCCTCCTCCTCCTCCTCCAGAGGCCCTCTCGTGGCCCGCCGTCGGGCCCTCCTCGGGCGCAGTGGGGCCACGGCCGCACGGCCGCGAGGCCACCCCGCCCCCTCGGGCGGGGCACGAGGCCCACGGCCTCGGGCCGCCGCGCGCTGCCGCGCCGAGCCCGGCGCACTTGCCGGGCCGCGGGCCGCGAGAGGGCCCTGCGGCAGCGGGCACGCGGCCGCGGGTCCGCGCCGCGCGGGGCCGCTTCGGCCTGCTCGAGCAGGTCGTGGAGCCGCTCCAGCTCGAGCAGGCCGCGCTGCGGCGGCGGCTGCTGCTCGGGCTGGGGCTCGGGCCGCGGCTGCGGGCCGCGGCCGCGGCCGCGGTCCCGGCTGCTGCTCGGGCTCTGGCGGGGGGCAGGGCCCCCCTCTGAGGGCCGCCCCGCCGCGGGGCCGCGGGGCCGAGAGCCCCCGAGGCCCGGGTCGCCCGCGGAGGGGCGGGGGGCGGGTCGGCCTCTCTGCGCCCGCGGCCTGGGGCGCGGAGGCGCCCGCGGCCTGGGGCGCAGAGGTGCCCTTCCTCCGGGCCGGCGGCGTGGGGGCGCGGGGGTGGCCGCGCGTCGTGGAGCGCCGCCCGAGCGTCGTCGCCGTCGTCGTCGTCGTCGTCGCCGTCGCCGTCGTCGTCGTCGTCTTCGTGGGGATGGTGGGTCGGCCATTCGCTTGGCCGCGGCGCCCCAGCGCGGCCGCCGTGCGGAGGGGCGGGCAAGAGCCCCAGAGGCCTTGTCGGTCGCCGCTGCCCAGGGCGCAGTGCGCGCTCTCGGTGCGCGCCCAGCTCGTTTCAGCGTCTAGCGGCAGCCTCGTGGGCAACGGTTGGGGGGACAGTCGAAGAAGAAGAAGAAGAGAAAATAAAAAATAATAAAACAAATATATATATATATATATATATATATGTATACCTATATATATATATATATATAAGCCATAAACATAAACTGTGGGCGCTCCGCGCGGATTTCTTGGATCCGCGCTGGGCCCCCCTGTCGGCGCCTCCGGCGCGGCCCCTGGCGCGTTCCGCGCGCCAGGGAGGGGGGTCCAGCGCAGATCCAAGAAATCCGCGCGGAGCGCCAAAAGTTTATGTTCATGCCGTTTTTTTATTCCTGATAGGCTCGGGGTGGGACACGCTTCGAGCCCCGATCGCCCAGTCATCGCCGATAGGGGCCTGATAGCCCACCCCGCCCATGAACGTGCGGTTTCGCGATCGTGGGCATATCGCTTATCTCTCGGCGATGCATCGCAGATTCTAGGTCGATGGATGCCCCCCTGCGGCGCCGCACCCCCCCTCGTCGTTCCCCATCACATCTAGCCGCCGCTCAGGAGACGCTCGAAGCCGACAAGAGAACCGGAGGGTGGGCAAGACCCCCAGATGCCTTTCTCGACTAGACGTAAGAGTGACCTTTCGCCGGAGTGACCTTTGGTGCGGGCCCACCCAATGGGGTCACACGATCGCCGAACGCGAGGTCGCAGTGGCGTCTTGCGCGCTTGTGTTTGGCCCCTCCGCGGCCCCCAAAAAGCCGCGCTCTAAAGGTCACTCTTACCCAGGGTCACTCTTGCGTGTAGTCGACTTTCGGTCCCCAGTTGCTCAGGGTGTGCGTGCTCGGTGAACGCCCAGCTTGTTTCAGCGTATGACGGCACCTTGCCGCCCCGCAGTCAAGAAGTGGCGAAGCTTCCTGACTTGCCCATGAGCCCACCCAATAATGTTCTGAGAACCTTTTGGGGTCTGCACACAATTCTCTTACAGCCTTTCTGGCTCAGGGAGCCTTGGTCTAATGTAGATTGGCTTGAAGTTCTAAGAACATTGTTCCCCATATCCTAAGGTGGGGTCATTGATATTATTGGGACGCCTCCGCCTCACACTCAACCGCCTCCTGTTGCTCACTCACACTCAGACCCACCCATCTGCACTCGGATTCACTCACACTACGACGAACTCGCATTGATACCAAATCATACACAGAGTCACTCGCACTCAGATCACTCACACTCAGACTCACTCACACTCACACTCATATTGACTCACACGCATTCTCATCCACACTCAGACTCTGTCACACTGAGACTAAGACCTACTCATACTCAGATTCACTCACGCTTAGGCTCATTCGCACTCAGAGTCACTCACACTCAGACCCACTATCTTTCAGACTCACTCACACGCAGGCCACACTCAGACTCGCAATCAGACACGCTGTCTCTGTTGGCGGTTCAAGGCTCAGCGCGATATAGCAGGCGTGGCATTTAAGAACCTCAAGAGGGAGCCGCCAGAGGTGAGGGGACTCCATGATTCGCGCTCAGATCGTGTGGATGTGTCCGGCGGTTTGCTTCTTTCGGCGCCTCGGACTCATCTGCGTTGGTGCTCGAACGCTCACCGAGATACAGCAGACGTGACACTTGGGCACCTCAAGGGGGAGACGCCAGGGGTGGGAGTACCTCATGATTCGCGCTCAGATTGTAAGGATGTTTTGTTCCTGCGCCTCGGACTCCTTTCTTTTGGTGGTCCCATGCTCACCGAGGTACAGGCGTGGCACTTGGGCACATCAAGGGGGAACCGCCAGGGGTGAGAGTACCTCATGATTCGCGCTCAGATTGTAAGGATGCCTCGGGCGATGTGCTTGTTCCTGCGCCCAGGACTCTCGTTTGGTGGTCCAATGCCCACCGAGATATGGCAGGCATGGCATTTGAGCACCCCAAGGGGGAACTGCCAGGATCGGGGCACTCCTGTGATTCGCGCTCCGATTGTAAGCATGCCTCGGGCGATGTGCTTCTTCCTGCTCCCAGGACTCCTTTCGTTTGGTGGTCCAATGCTCACAGAGATCTGGCAGGCGTGGCACTTGAGCACCCCAAGGGGGTGTGAAGAGTGCACTCCCCTGCCCCTCTGCCGCCCGTGTCACCGTGCGTGCATGATGTACACGCTTGTCTTGTTTTGTGGCATGCACGCTGCTCGCTGCTGTTTTGGCCCTAGTCCTAGGGCTCTGGGACGCACCCGCAGTTTTGACTGCCGCGCAGTCCGAGCTAAAAGAACTGCACTGACATTGGTAGCGGAGCTTGTAAGCTCCAGCGGACGCACTGCGTGCTCTGCTTTGGTGGTCGTGACCACCTGCGTGGGCCGCCATGGCAGCTAGCCAAGACGGCTCAGACGCGGAGGCTGCGTCCTCTGCTGGCACAGGTCCCCCGGACCTGCATGCAGTCCTGCGCGTGATGGCCGAGACCCAGCGGGAGCCCTTGGCCTTACATCGGGATCGTGGTGGCGACGGCGGTCCCAGACGTACACGTCTACTGCTGTCGCAGGTGAAGCTCCCAGAGTTCGATGGTGCAGTCGGTACGAGTACCAAGAAGTACCGAGAGTGGCGCAAGGAGGTTGAAGTCATCCGCAACCTCAACCAGCTCTCAGATGTGGAGCTGGGCCTGATCATCTACAGTCAAGTGACAGGTCGAGCCAAAGAGCTCATCGAGGTGCTTGATGCGTCGGAACTCCGACGCGAGGATACGCTTGAGACCATATTTGCTATCTACGACGACGCCTTTGAGAAGATGGATCACGAGCGCCTCGATCAGGTGCATCAGGAGTGGGAACGAGCACACCGTCGAGCTGGGCAGCCCATCATGGATTGGACAACGTACTTGCGCAAGAAGCGCATGGAGCTGCAGCTCGAGGATCCGACTTCAGC